AAGAGAGACGAGGAGAAAGAGAGAGGAGAAAAGAGAGAGGAGGAGAAAGAGAGAGGAGAAAAGAGAGAGGAGGAGAAAGAGGAGAAAGGGATGACCCCGGACCTAAGTCTCCTGAGTGGTTTCGCCTGTGAGGTGTTATTATCATTGCATGTACGTGACACGTGTCTGCATTCGGGTTCGTGGCTCCTATCTGGTTCGGTGTTGGTGACGCGCGGAACATTGCAAAACCGCCTGCTGGTCTGCAGCGGCTTGCAAGTGCAACATCATCATCTGAGAGTTGCCAGATCTGGCGCAGGGTTTGGAGGGCCGCTTGAATGAGCGCTCGATCATGCCGCATTCTGAGAATCCGATGGCTGTTTTTGTGCCGGTCGCTGTGCCATGTGAGTTTGTTCAGGCTGGAGGCGCACAGCCTCTCCAATGCCAAGGCGCGTAGAGTCCGCATCAAGCACTCTCAGACAAAACAAGAAGCTGCATTCTGCTGTCTCGCTTGCCAGTGCCGCCTGAGTGCACGGAGTCGACACGGCTACTCAGTAAGGCACTTTCGTTCAGGTGCGTCTGAACATTTCGGATTGCCGCCAAGTTGCTGCTTTTCCCGGCCAAATAGCAGCTGCCTTTACCCTGCTCACTTTGCTGGTGCGCGTTCTGCTGTGTACTATAAGAAATGTGACCATGCTTAGGTTGGCGTTGTGGGCCGAAGCGGCATGACTGGCAACACGTTCCATGTCTCGGACTTTCTGCCAGGCGCCTGATTATGCAGCCCTTAATTCCGTGGAAAGTTCAGCAAGCTTTGCTCATACAGATATAAGCGCAGGGCTTCCAGTCCATGGGCAACCAATTCCGGAAGAGGCCTCGTTGCAGGCCACAATTGTTGCAGGCCCGCAGCAGACTCAGAGAGCTCATGCGTCGGCTTTTGATCAGTTTGGTCCGCTGTTGATCAGTTTGCTTTGAGGTTCTGCCAGCGAGACCGACTGGATTTCACAGCTTTGCGGGGTGCCTTGGCTCATGCGCACGCGGAGCGTCCTCAGGTGGGCTGCAGTTTGGACTGCTCTTCTCTTTTCTTTTGAGATGCTCTTCAACGGCGCAAGCTCATGGAATGTTTGAAATGCTGGCTTAAGCTGGCGTGCTGTCTGGTAACCTAGTTGATCAAAACACTGGGTGATATGCCCTGGTACTCCCCCTGAATGCTGAGCTCTCGACTGCAACTGCTAGATGCAACGAACCAGACTCACACCCTGCCCCCCCCACACACACGAAGTGAGCACACTGCCAACAGCACTGGTTCTTCGTGCAAGCCTAGACTTCCGCAATCGGCAGTATGTTGCTGTGGAGCCAGCTTGCGCTCGATGATTCCAGCAGGCGTCGTGTCCGGACGACTAACTGCTTCAAATCATGCAGACCTGGGAGGCAACAAGAGCGAGTCGGAAGAAATCCGTTTGGACGAAGACACTGATCTTCCAGCCTGCTCCTCAGCAACAGTGCAGCTCTGCAATTTACCTGTGATTTACCTGTGATGTACCTGTGAAGCTGCAGATATGGTGCATCAGGAGCCAGCCAGGAATGTGGCACAAGGTCGAGATGCGTGCCGTCCTCGGGAGGGGCTGAAGATTCCTACATGCTTCAATGCTCTCGGATACTCTGGGAACATTTTGCAGATGAGGCTTCCGAAAACTAGCAGCGGCATCTTGCGTCTATCTCAGCACGCTTCGAGCTTCGTTGAATGACGCTGAAGCCCAGAGTGCAAGGACAAAATTCAACTTGCGGTTTCTCTTTCAGTGGAGTGGCCCTGGAGGTGACAGCTGCAACAGAAACATCCTTCCTTCTTGCTTGTGCCATTCGACGCAGGTCAGGCTGCTCAATATTCCGTAGGCGAGTTGGAAAGCAAGATCTATGACAACGTGCATCACAACGGCAAGGCCAAGCTAAGTAGATCCGAAGAAATCCAGAGCTGTGACGCGACTGTCTGTAGCCTGACCTCAGGGAGAACTCCTGCTGCCGCTGTCCATCCTGTCGCGAGATGAGTCCTCGCAGGCAGGAATTCTCCTCCCATCCATCCTATCCGATCATATTCAGCGTGGCTTGGATTTCTTTTTCGGAGTAAGTCAGCATCTGCGCCATGCTGGAGCAGGTGACTACGAGCCGCAAGATCTTGCATTTCACAGATTGGAAGGCGCTCTGCTGACGTACTTGCATCTGCTTGTGCACAAACAGCCTTTTTCATTTGCTGCTATGCCAGGCTAAGCTGGCTTCACAGGCGACCGGGTGAAAGATGTAAAATGGCTTGTCATGTGGATTGCACCTGGCATCGTTGCGCAAGGTTTGCCTGGTTGTGGTGCTCATTTCCTGCATCATTTCCCCAATTACCTTTATTTGGGGCGGAAGCTGGGATCGGGCCTCGGAAGGAAACCAGGCCCAGTCTTTGCATCTGTGACCTCTGAGACCCTGCTTGGGCAGCAAAGGCTGACCCAAGATGGGTGCCAGGAGGGAGGCTGGTCAGGGATCATATAGGGTTTATATGAAAATATATAGGGAATATTTAGGGAATATATATAGGGAATATATGGGGATTATATTGGAATAATGGAAAATAAAATGGAAACGACTATGCTGGTCATTGAGCAGGTTCAAAGCTTTGTGAGATGGATGGATGACAGGACAACTATGGTCTTGGATATGATTTGTGATTTGTGCTACCTTGCCTACCTCATACTGGAACTCAAGATGTCCTTCATGCAAGCAGCCCAGTGATCTAGAGCTCAGCATGCATGGAATCAAAATGGTTGCATGCTGCGTGCTTGAGGCATCCGTCCCGAAGAGTGGAAGTCGTTGATCCGTCCAAGATCCTGGAGTTTAGGCGCCATGACTCGCAAGCCGGATTTTGAGACCATCAATGACCATGGCCCAAAATAGCATGCCTTCAGGTTGCGAAGCACCACCTACGTTTTACGCGCCTTCAGCGCTGCCTCCTCGGAGCATACAGGGCCCAAGCCATGATTCTCCAAACAAGTTGAGCACAACCCAAGCACAGACACAGCTGTCTATACTTGGCCTGTCATTCATTTTGGCTGAGGCCACGAGCTACTTCTGGATAGCCACCTTCAATGCCAGCTTACTGCTGAACTTGACGAAGCTTGTGAGGATCTATCACTTCGCGCCGAGCTTATCTTCCGAAGAGCTCGGATCTGCAATCTGCAATCGGATGCTTCGGAGTCATGCAACAGTTAGCCGGCAATTTGTGAGCACTCATGAAGGTGCGCCTGCCCGACCCCCTCTGGCTCATTTGGGACAACGGCATTCTGCGGGAATTGAGGCAGCTGTGGCGCTAGAATCTGAAACTCGTGTGCGAGCTTGTGGTCAGGCCGCTCCTCCTCTTAACTTGGTTGGCGCACTGGGCCGTCCACCTAATTGGCTGTACCATGTCGGGTTTCATGCGTGGAGCATGTTGAGGTTGGTTGCCTCCTCGCCTGGGGTGGAGGATACCGCGAGGATATCTTCCAATTCAGAAGCTCTAACAACTCTCTCTCTCTCTCGTGCGTGGCAGGCTCTCTGGAGCTCAGGCAGGCGTCCCGAAGCTCCTGCTGCACTCGTCCAAGCCACATGTTGGAACCATCAGGGGACGGAAGTCCATTCGAGACCACCTTCAACGGGGCGGTTGTGCCTGGCTGGTTCTCCCTGTACTTCATGGCCTTTGCACAGAGCTCAGCAAGGATCCTTGCAGTTGCAAGGTTTTTTGCAGATTGACTACTTAAACACTTGCACCTTTGGAGGTGGAAGCCTTGTACATGCTGACTGGAGCTCTGGACAACCCGTTGGGTGATGGAGGGTGCCGAGCTGAGCGCACTGGGCTCGGCATTTGCTTGCTTTCTACCCTATTCCAACTTGTGGAAGGATTCGAGATAAGAACTTCGGCGCCTTGGTAATGGTAGCAGCAGAGCCCTCAGCGCCAAAAAAGCTCGACGCGCATCTGCTTGAGCAACATGATGCTCAGGTGTTTGGTCCTGTTGGCTGCATTATTGTGGCCCACTTCATTGCAGCAGTTGTGCGCGAGCAGGAGCAGCACCTAATATTACCCCAATCTAATCCTTCTAGTACTACCCCAATATTACATAGTCTTTCCATAATCTGTCCCGTATTGCTCCTGACCGTAGCAGGAGAGAAAGTTTGCACTGGACATCCGCCACGAGGAAAACCAGGCCCACTACTGTAGTATAATAGGGGATGATGGAAAACAAAATGGAAATTACTATAGTACATTGGGGTTATATAGGGGATAATGCGGAAAAGAAAATGGAAGCTACTCTACATTATAATAGGCCAATGCAAAACACTTCGGGCCTTCTTGTCAGACTTCGTAACTCTGTAGCTTGTCGCAGCTGCACTCGCAGCATCAACGCATTCTCACGTGTACAGTCTGCGGACTCCAGTTTATCTAATTGTAGACGGATTACATATGTATCATCATATCTAAAGATATGTAGGTTTACAAAGGCAGGTATATATATATATATGTATATACACATACATATATATATACACATACATATAATCATCCACATCTATATATATATATATATATCATCCACAGGCAGTTTCACCAGTCCATCAGGCGTTCGTCAAGCGAGCCTTGGAGAACTTGAACGTTCCCAAGGAGCTTCAGCGCCGAGTGTTCAGTCAATGCCTCTGCCTGGAAAGGATGACTATATGAGCTATAGTCTAAACTCCTCAAAGTGGGATTATATAGGGGACTATATAGGGGACTACTATAGGGGTTATTCAGGCAAATACTAGGAGTTTAAACTATGACTCACACATCCCCAATATGCTATAGTAATCTATAATAGTTTCCATTTTATTTTCCATTATCCCCTATATAACCCCAATATACTACAGTAATTTCCATCTTATTTTCCATTATCCCCTATATAACCCCAATATACTATAGTACCAGGTGGTCGGGTTATCTCACATCGGCTGGGTTTTTTACACATCGAGCAGCGTCCACACTGGCAAACCCAGTTCAAAAGCATGCGCTTGAGTAGATGACGTGCAAAAGCAATTCTCGCAGTTGTGCTGTTTCCACAGCGTCCACAGGGTTTCAGCTCATGACGCGGCATGTTTGTATGGCATCATTGTATCTGTGGAGCAGCGCCCACACTGGGGGACCCAGTTCAA